TTCGAGTGCTTGCTACATCGACCATGATCAATTCACAAGGGGAGTAGAAGGAGAGTAAAGCAACGTTAAATCAAGCAACATGTTGGATACATTCTAGGAGTTAAGTAGGAGAAATAGTCACATATTCCCAAGGATAGTATAGCTAATGTTTTGAGTAGTTGATGACGCGATAGTACTTTTGACTGTTCTTATTTCACAATGGAAAATAATCGTGATAGTATTTTGTGTAGCTTTTTATTTTAGATTTATTTTACATCTCATAGTAGTGATGTGCTTTACTTCATTTTGGTGTTACTTAAACTTTGTGTCCTTCTAGGGGAACTTCGATGGTAATATAGCTGAATTTGTTAATTTTACAATTAATTTATGCTTAGGTGATCGACCATATTTATGGTTTCTAGTTTCTATCAGGAATTCACGTGGTAACGTATGTACATAATAGTGTGCATACGAATTTCGTAATGCTCAAATTTTCAGTGTACTTCACTAAATTGTAATGAATAGTCGAGAATTACTCATAAAATCTGTCGGGATCTAAGTTGAACTGTCGGCACGTATAAATATTTTGTCTAATAAACTACTGTGCTTGTAATAATATTTCTACACATCTAATGCCTATAACTAGTTTAGTCTAGTTAATTGTTTGCTCATCAAGTGTGAACATAGAATAATACGTATATTTTGTGACATTTTTTATATAAATTTTGTTTCGGATCCGCTTCACGATTATCATCCGTACGAGTGATTCAATTGTCTAATTTGTAAATATTTACTCATATCTATTGTTATTGCAAGAGTATAATGAATTTAATATTCCATCTTTAAGTGTCATTTAACGTTTTAATGAAGTCTACTACGCTCAGAAATCACTTCTGGTGTCATTCAACCATTAAGTTGATTTATGTTTTGTGGTGAATATGTACTTACCAAATTTAATTGTCTTTAGAATATTTCCCATAAATAGCACTGCGTATAATAAAACAAACTTCAAGTTTATATTCACCCTTTAATCGAAACACAAGTCCTACTAGGTAGATACTTGTCAAAACTATAATCGAGGTGGTCTTGTCCCCTCTCCACTTCCATTTGTCATCTACATGAACAAACTTTCATTCACGCGATACCATGAATCTCACATGATTACTTATATCCGAAAATTAAGATTGCAATAGTAAGAATTCTGCACAATCAATATGTCGACATTTAATAATATAAAAGTGGGACATTCAAATATTTAAATCCATAAATAGAAAAAATGTGAAACCAATCGTTGAAATGTCTATCTTAACGGTTTTTAAATGTCGAATTCGATTGTTGAACTATCAGAACTGATTTGAAGCATTTTAATATGTGTGTGATTGGAACAAATTCTTCATAACATTAAGTGTAGTCATTAATATTGTACTACAAAATGAAAAATTCTTCTTTTGAAATAATTTACACAGCGAATCAATAAAGTGACAATCCTTCAAAATATTTATTGGATTAGATTGGAAGAAATTATTCATACCATTAATGATGATTATCAAAATTCTCAACCAAAACATAACAAGATCTTCCCAAATAAATAACTCAACACTTAATTAAATATAAAATCATTCACAACATTTTGTAGATAATTTGGGTATATTTATTTCAAAAGATTTGAAAAATTCAAACAAATCGATGAATAATAATTTCAAAAATTTTAAATAAATATGACCATATTTGTATTTAACATTTTAAAAGTAATAAGTTATAAGATAAAAATATAAACAATCTTTAACATTCTAACCTCTCAAAAGGGAAGATGAAGATAAATTCAATAGTAATTTCTTCTTGACGAAGGAATTGAGAAGATGGTAAGAAAGTTAGAGTTTGTTAATGGTAAGTCAGTTTATGCTCACTTTTAAATTTTTTTTTTATTATCTATTATAATATAAGCATACTCAATGTTTATAGTACACAAATTAACTCATCACATTATAGTATTAATGAATATTCAAATCAAACATTAATGAGAATTAAATGCTCCAAAAAAGGTATTACTAAGGATAATTTAAGTTTTCACACAAAAAAGTGACATTTTTGAACACCATTAGTAAAAGTGACAAATTTAATCGTATTTTCAAATTCAGTCACATCTACGAAACAATCCTATCTTCAATCAGGGGATATGCTTCTAGAAAAGATTAACTAGGTCCAAAATTCGTATATGAGAAAGGCACTTTAAGTTGGAAGAAAGCAAATTCCTGTGAATGGAGGCTCATCGAATCATCTAGAATGTTTTTCTTTTGATATTCTTGGTCCATCCCTGGCTCGAGTACTCCATTGATGGGTCTAGTTAGCTCTAAAGCCAAGAGCAATTCCAACATTACCCATTTCTTTTATGTTGTTCCATTGTGATTCATTGAACTTAGATTATGAATTAAATACTATATGGATAAGCTGCATGTGAAAGTTCAAATTCTTCCCCATAAAGTTGAATTCATGTTTTGACTTTTGAATTTTCTAAGCCTTAAGAATATGAGGTCAAAACGAATATTATTGAGCAAAAGCAGTCAAATTAGAACAATGCTATAATTTTAGATTTTTCTACAGAATTTGTACAGAAATACAGTTATTTTCTTGTAATTGACTATTGCCAAAAATAGTTTTTGACAACAACAAATCACAGGAAGACAGTTGTCTTTCTATACCAATTTTGTTAAAAAAAAAAATCTGTAATTGCAGATTAATTATTTTTTATGACCACCTTTTTTTGTTTTTTTCCGATAATTTCTCTTTATTTGCTTGTGCTTGCTCATTCATTTATTTTAGCAATATCCCACCAACTTTTCCCACATCTAGATAGTATTACTGCCCCACTTACATTAACTGTCAATAGGCATGTTGGTTACTTTTTGTCCATTTTACTTTATATTAGTTAATTTTATATTGAATTCCATTAAATGCTCGTCAATGTAAATCTCTGTTCGATTGAATTGACGTCTATTATATCAAATATGTCTCGATAATTGTTTGATACGTTACAGTATATAGTATATGAGCGTCTCTACTTTAATTTCCTATTCAATGTGATATATTAAATATGCAATAGTTCATTAATTGATCGGAAGCAAGTCAACATGATTAAAGAAGAAAACAACACTAATTCTTGGCTATATATAATATCTAATAAAGTAGATTGGATAATACAATAAAACGTTAAAATAATATATTTGGTACGCTTTAAATCACGATTAAGATATTAAGCAATCCCATTTCTTGTTGAAGTGGACGCCACCAAAATTTGTCTCAAATATATAGCACTCTAGTTAGTGACACGAATGCACAATTTCAAGTTAGTGCAAGCAGCAAAATAATAGAAAGTGCACTTATTTTTAAACTATACAGAAGCAAATAGAGGTGGTGAAGGAATGGTTGTTTGACACGAAAATTGCCTTTTTTCTTTGTAAAGCCAAGTGATGGCTTTGTCAATGGACCCTCCAATATTGTAAATTTCATAGGTGGATCAAAACCTTACATACAAGGTTCCACGTTTAAACTTTCCCCCCTTCGATTCTTTACTAGAAGAAATTTTGAAATAGTAAAAATAATTAAATACTATTCTTGACATATATATATTTTTAAATAATAGTTAGGAATAGTTGAAACTCGTTTTTTTTAAAATAAATTTTGTAATAGTAATTTTTTGAAAAATGTGTGATTAAAAAGTAGGTAAAAAAATCGAGTTTATATGTAAAATTATTTTATTGAATAAAACGTACGATTAAAAATGAGTTTAATAAAAAATGATTAATGTGACAAAAACAGGAATTTAATTTGATTCGTCCGCGCGCCTATCACAAGATTCATATTACAAGGTGCAAAAATTGAAAATCTCTCTCTCTCTCTCTCTCTCTCTCTCTCAATATAATGAACATTTAGATATAATGATTCAATATTGTATTACGGGAAACAAAAGTCATCCGTTCAAGTTTTTCTCGTCCTTGGCTACTCTCTCTCTCTCTCTCAATATAATGAACATTTAGATATAATGATTCAATATTGTATTACGGGAGAAAAAAGTCATCTGTTCAAGTTTTTCTTGTCTTTGGTTTTGAAAATTAGCCGATCCTATTTCCAAAAAAAGGAAAAAAAATGGAATAAAATTTTTACGCAAAAGCATAAATCTATAATTATATCGGCGAAAACTAACGTCATGTTTTAGGTAAACTTGTAAAAACCAAAAAAGCCCCGTTTCTTGACTAAAACGCCAATTTCCGTACATATATTCCTTGAAAGGAACCTTGCTTGGCTTTAATTAGTAAACGTTGAGTAAAACACCATTGTCTTGTAGCTTAATTAATTAATCTACCTTCATTTTTTCAAAGACTTGGTTATTTTACTTAAAGTTACTATAAATAGTTTTTCTCATGTCAAAGAATATGCAGATTTTAATTCTTTCTTTATGTCTCGAGCCATTGCTTACATAGACACGACAATTTTGAAATATAAATGGGGCCCACGTTCGTCCAACTATAATCGATAATTCTTTCTTGCATTTGGACCTCATTTATCACACGTTAAAATTTGAAGTACTATTTCGATAGACAACTTACATAACAACTACTACCAAAGCTATATATTTACCCCTTTTTTGACTAAGCTACCAAAACTCGATACATATTTCTTAGCGTTACTTGGCTGTAATTAGTAAGAGTAATGCTATTTAGTTCTATTGGGGTTAGAACTCCAAGATAGGTGGCGTTACATGATATTAAATAATATGTGAAATTAAATGAATAATTTAATTTCATATTTTATTCAATCTATCATCAAGCGTCACCTAAATTGAGATTGTAATCCTAGTAGGATAGCATAACATTACTCAATTAGTAAACATAAGAGTAAAAGATGTGTCACGATCGTGAATATTGGCGACTTTAAGCTTAATTCATACAATAATAATTAATTATCACCATCTAACTCAGACAGCCGGCATTAAAATAATCATTAAGCCAACATAAATGTTTAAATAAGTTATTAACATGATAATTTATATCTAATAAATTAATCAGAATTCACAGCTTCTTGTTCCGTTGACTAGTGTTCATACTGATCCAATGGCCGAGACTCCCACCATTGCAAATTTGTCTTCTTGTGGAAGGTGCTAAAGGATGATAAAAAAGGATAAGCTATGGCTGTCATGGTCCTTCCTCCATTTACTACACCCACCTTTCCCCATATCTCGCCAGTATGATTTATTCATATGAATTTAAACAAGTTGCAGAAATATTAGAATGACTATTAAGAGGAACAAACGAGACAAGAAAAAGTCAACCCTTTTTAACCTTTTTTTAAATCTCGAGGTTTTGAAATATTGCTTCTCGTGAAGCCAACAAGGGACACCAAAAATCAACGCATTATTATAAATATTATACGTATATATAGATATTTATATTTATGTTTTTTTACGTGTTCACATTTTTGGGTTTCAACAAGTTTGGCAGTAGTTGAATTTTGGACGCTTGTGTACTAATGGTCATCAAAAGAGTTTGGGGGTTGAGCAATTGAATTCTCAGTCTGCTTCCATTGTTGAAGATAATAGAAGGGTTTGCTACCATTTGGTTTGGATTCAATAAATGGGTTCTTGTTGCAGTGTTAGAATAAGGGCAGACAGCCCTCGTTATAATGGTTAGTATAATCAAATTGTTCAATTTTCCTTGATCAGATTCTAGTTTTTCTTGAATTAGAAGTATTCATTGCCAAATGTTGTGGTTTACTATTATTATTTTTATTTTTTTAGGGAGGTTTGTAGCTGTTTTGATTTGGTTAATTCTGATTTAGTTTATGATTTTGTGAGATTATGAAATTAATAACTATAGTTGACATTTGGATTGTGTGCTTTTGTCTAGGATCTAATAGAGAACACAGTAATGATACATTTGTTGTGTATTGTGATTTATGTTATAAGATTTGTCAAGAATCAAGATTTTACCTTAACCCTCCTCCATTACTGGGCTAAACTGACGAAAAACATAGGTACCAAATCATAAATTGTAATTTGCCTTTCTGATTCACCATTTTTAGGCATTTAATGGAGTTTGAATATGTGAAATGAATGTATTTGCAGGATCAAATTCAAGATATGTCGGCATTGATGTGAAAGACACAAGCAGCAGTTCATCGATTGCGATTCCATTGACCCCTCGAAGTGAGGGTGAAATTTTGGATTCATCGAATTTGAAGAGTTTTGGGTTTATTGATCTGAGAGCAGCCACCCGGAACTTCCGTCCAGATAGTGTATTAGGGGAAGGTGGTTTTGGGTGCGTTTTTAAAGGATGGATTGATGAACATACATTTAAAGCTGCGAAACCTGGGACTGGAATGGTTATTGCTGTCAAAAGATTGAACCAAGAAGGTCTTCAAGGTCACAAGGAGTGGCTGGTGAGTCTGACCTTTCCCCGGTTTGGGTAGTTAAATATTTAACATATTGAATTCATTTATTGATTTGGAGAGTTCGTAGTGGATGTAGCAATGAACTGAACAAAACGAAAAAACGGATTCATGTAAAATTTCTTGGGAATTAGGCTCAGCATGTTTAGCCGTGCTTAAAAGTTACTTCTAAAATTATGCTTGGCAAGATAAGTTACTTTAAGTAAGCTTGACTTACTTTTAAGCACAAACAAACATGCTCTTGGTTTTTTGTTGTTGTTAATCATGTTTGTCAAATTTATCGACTATGATCCGGTTCTTGATCATTTATTCTGTCAAAGATGCTCAGATTTGATGGAATTCAAACCAAAATCCGAATATGCTGATTCATTTATCCTTTATTGGAATTCAGACAGAAATCAATTATCTGGGGCAGTTATACCATCCTAATCTAGTAAAGTTGATTGGTTATTGCTTAGAGGATGAACACAGGCTTCTTGTTTACGAGTTCATGCCTCGTGGCAGCTTGGAGAATCATCTATTCAGGAGTGAGTTATTGATGCTATCTATGATTTTCACCATTTTTACCCAAAGGAACTTCAATTTGTCACATTGACTTAGCCTCGTAAGTGTATTTTGAACAGGGGCATCTTACTTCCAACCGTTGTCTTGGAACCTGCGTATGAAGGTTGCTCTAGGTGCAGCAAAGGGGCTTGCGTATCTTCACAGCCCAGAAGCTAAGGTTATATATCGTGATTTCAAATCCTCCAATATCTTGCTTGATGCGGTATGTGGAACAATAAGAAATCAATTGTCGAAAGTTTGATTTTATAACGGTTTCTACGTGGGTGTCTAACAAACTTTAACCGATGGCTTTGACAGAACTACAATGCGAAGCTTTCTGATTTCGGGTTGGCCAAGGATGGACCAATGGATGGTAAAAGCTATGTATCTACAAGAGTAATGGGAACCTATGGCTATGCAGCTCCCGAGTATATGGCCACAGGTATTACATTCTTCACTGTCTTCCCTCTGTAAATACCCTTTCCAATCATTTTAGGCGCATATTGATTGAACTTTGTCGAGAATTCAAGGACGTTTGCTGAACAAGATTAGATGAGACCCTAATTGACCAGAAATGTTGTCATATGAAGTGTAATTACAGTTGAAATGATGGAACACGAATACGAGTTAATATATGTTATAAGGTCGGCTTACCTGCAACTGCAAGTTCTCATAAATTATTAAATGTAAATGATCCTGTTAATTACTTCTTATCCTCTGTTCATTTGTTTTTGAAGGCCATTTAACTGCCAGAAGCGACATATATAGTTTTGGGGTTGTTCTCCTCGAGATGATAACTGGGCGTCGCGTAATAGACAAAAACCGCCCTCACGGGGAACAAAATCTTATCGTATGGGCTCGGCCTTATCTGGCTAGCAAAAGGAGAATATTCCGAGTTATGGATGCCCGTATAGAAGGCCAGTACTCCCCAACTGGGGCATTGAAGGCAGCTACTCTCGCCATCAAATGCCTAGCAATAGAACCCAAATACAGGCCGAACATGAAAGAGGTCGTAAAAGCATTGGAGCAACTCCAGGACACGGGGAGTGTCAAAACTGAGGCTGTCGAAAAACATCGTCGATCATGTGCCAAAGATTCGAGTCGTAAGGCTGCTTCTCATCGAAGACCATCTGCTGCCACTGTTGTTGCTTGAAGGGGAAAGGAAGAATTTGATTGGAATATAATTCTTGAGTTTAGAAGACAGAAAATGCTTAGCCGGTACGAGGTGGATCCTAAATAAATTGGGGAGTTTTATTTGCTTGTACCATCACTTCGTGAAGTTCAGTATAGATAACTACTGTGTTCTCTTTAAGTTCTGTAATTAGATATTGATACTATAATTTCATTATACAAAGGCCAACAATAATGTTTTTTGTTACTCTCCCTTGGACTTTCAAAAAGAATAATGCTATTTGCAGTCGTATACTACCTCAGTCGCCTTACATGAAATATTTGTGATAGTTAGTAATTTGTTGCAGAAGGTAATAAAAAAACTATTACATTAATGTATTAAATCACTAACCGTCACATGTATGCCACATAAAACGACTACGACAGCGAGCGATTGGCAAATAGTATTACTCTATAAAAAAGTGATGTTATATCAATATAACATGTTAGAACATGGTGCGACAAACAAAAACTGATGTGGTTGCAGGCTATTGCGTCAACCCGAGGGTTTACCTAGTGCACACCCGAAAGGTAACGGTTGCGAGTTCCCCGTCATTCAAAAAAAAAAAAAAAAAAACCTAATGCGGTCGGTTCTAAACGTTACAAAATCAAAAGCACAGTATGCATCGTGACAAAAACTGATTGAAGGACGTGCTTGTTACGTTCCAAAAGTGTTGGAAACCCACATAAGTATAGAAATTATTGCTTGAAAAAATAGGCACGTTCGTGTTAAATAACCAAAACGACGTTATAAGTGCAGAATGAAGACCAAAGTAGTGTGAAAAACATAAGAAATCACTCTTATAATTTTCCTTTCATAGGAGGCATTATTGTAATCAAATTTTCATGGCCTAAAATTATTCATATTTTTAATAAAAAGGATTTTCTCCATTCATTTTTAGATTTTTGTCATATAATTTAATTCATGTGTAAAGTAATTGAAGCAATGTTGGAAGGAAGTACAAATACAAGAAACTAATTTACTAAATGAGACGTACAAATAGTTTGATGTTACAGCTCGTCAACTCAATCAATATGGACCACACTTGACGTATAGGCCCTGTACGTACATCTTTTTCCAATATCTACTGGTCAAGCAATGTATTCGAAATAAATTATGGAATAGCCAATTGGTTAACTGGACTTTGTCTAATATTGATGAGAAAAAAATCGAATTCATCAAATTTTCCAATTAATTGTGTGTTTCATTTTCTCAATTTCTATCGAATTCATAGAGTTGTACGAATGATATAGTCTCATGGTCTACATTTCCCACGATAGACAGATTGCCTTTTACACCCTGACTACACACTACGTGTGAAAATTATGGTTTATTTATTGTACGAAGTAAAGTTGAATGACCAGCAGAAAGCATTACTATAAAGAGAGAATTGATCACCAAGGTTTTTCGGGATCAGTTTTATCAAACCAACCGAGATCGACACCACCAAATAACAACCTAATCTCCTACAACTTTCGCCTCAATTCCGTTTGCTTTTGTATTGCCCACAAAGGACACAAAAGTGAGGAGGGGTTATTGCCACCATACAGCGGCCACAAAGGCAGAAGAAAGAACCAAACAAAGAAGAAAAACCGAAGGCAGACAGTAGCACGAAGCACAGGAAAAGTAATCAGTGTTTTTTCTTCAAGGCAATAACATATTTCTCAGAGTAACGAGGCTGCCCTGTATAGTTGTAGATTAGGCTTTTAGGTTAAGTAACGGATTAAACCCAAAAGGAGACAATAGATAACCAATAATTGGGCCAAACATCAAAAGCCGTCCAAAGAGTGAAGTCGGGCCATGAGCAGCTCTAACTGAATTAGGCCGCTTCCAATGGCCCAAAATAGTTATAGGCTCGGGTCGTTCCATTTGATGTGTCGATATTTCACTTTAGTCATTTGGTCGACATGATTGAATAACTAATGATTTAACATTATTGCCCGGTAGTTATTGGGTATTAAAACCAACAATTACTCAAGCTTAGTTGCTTCAGACATTTTCTGAAGGAACCTTTTATAACACCAACTAATTCACATGTTGATGGAGGTAAATCAACCTAATCGTAATAAAATGTGGTTCAAAGTTGTTGGGAAACTTCTGACTTTTTTGACCAAGAAGGGTAGGAAGGTAATGAAGTCAAAGATGGCAAAATAGAACGATGTGATCTTTCATCACATTCGTTATAATTTTTTAAAGAACTTACTATTTTCATATAAAGACATGTCGTATGCCAAGGTATTATCTATTTTCAGGATTTGATAGTTTGTTATATGACCTGTCAATGTTCTTCCTGTTGGAAAAATGAGTAAATGGATTACTTTTGGTATAAGTTTGAGTGGGACTCGTTGGTCCGATTTGGAATATCAAAGTTGATCTGTGTTCTCCTCCGTGAGAGTATCGAAACCATATATTTACTTGCCAAAATTGATTAACGGATAAATGAGAAATTGGAGCTCAAAGTTGGCCATTGGAAGATGGTTTATGTGGGAAAAGTGACATTTATCCTACATAGGAAAATGAAGAAAGCACGAACCATTTTATATATCCCTACACTTTGGAATGGTGTAATCATGTATAGCATAGAGGCTCTCTCCACGTGTGCGCGCAAGGGGGTGCAAATCTCGGACCGAAATAGCCTTCGGACCTTGAACTTAGGTGTAGGCGCGACCTGCGCACATGAATGTCGGACCGAACAAGGAAAAATTCGCCCCTTCGGAGAGCCCACGATTTGCAATTTTTTTTACTTTCTCCAATGACTTTTGAGTTTCTGAAGCTGCAAAAACTCTAATGAACTTCCAATGATCACAGTGTTAATGGGCAGTAACTCCAATGGAATCCTAATGGTCACAATGTTAATGGACAGTATGCCTATAAAAAGGCTTATTCTCTAGCAATCTAACACACTCGAAAATCTCACCTACATTCTTGCATACACAGTTTCTTCTTTCTTGCATTCCTCGTCCAGTAAGGTCTTGTTCTTGTGGTGATATTGTTCGGATACAAGATCAGTTCGTTAGAGTAGTATCTGCGTTGCTCAGATTCTACTATATACCGTTGTATCCTGGAAAACAGACGCTCGGATTAAAACTGAAGCACGTACGGTGAGAGGGCGAATCTGTTTTAAGGACACTGTGTTTACACAGGCCTCGTGTTAAAAGTTTATATGAAATTATAAGCATGTCGTTAATTTTTTTTGTTCTCTGAAATTTCTGTTAATTTTCAGCTTTCCCATTTAGATTTATTAAATTAACGTGTTTTACATAACTTAATATAATTTAGTTCTAAATTAGATTAATTTATTGTGGTTTATGATAATTTAGTTTATTGTGTAATTAACTAATATTATAAACCGGTATGAGAAAACTCGGTATCATTCCACCAACATAATTTCCAACAAACTTAAAACAGATTATATACACATTGATAGTAAATAAATTGTTTATTTTATTTTATTGAGATAAACAAGTTGTTTATTAGAAATTAGTATTTGTTTCATTTTTAGAAATGGCTACCGAACCAACCAACATGGATGTGATCCAAACTGCTCCTGCTGAAAATTAGGCCGTGGGCTCTACTGTGGCTCAAGGGCCAAGCTCCATTATGGCACAGACTGTGGCTAAGTTTTCAAGTCATGTTGTGAGTCAAACTATGGCTCCAACTGTGCCGGTTAATCATGGAGAAAAATCGGAGAAATTCAATGGCTTGAATTTCAAGAGGTGGCATTAGAAAATGCTATTTTATCTGACCACCTTGAATTTTGCGAGATTCTTGACTGAGACTACTCCAAATCTCAATGAGCGTGAAGAAGATGTGCAAGCAGTTAGTGCACTTGATGCGTGGAAGCATTCGAACTTCTTGTGCCGAAACTATATTATGAACAGCTTAGCAAATTCGCTGTACAATGTGTATAGTACTATGAAAACTGTTAAGGAGCTGTGGGAGTCTTTGGACCAGAAATATAAAACTGAGGATGTCGGAGCTAAAAAGTTCTTTGTCGGCAGGTTCCTAGACTATAAGATGGTGGACTCTAAAACAGTTATCAGTCAAGTGCAAAAACTCCAAATGATTCTTCACGAGATTCATGCCGAAGGGATGAGTTTGAGTGAAACTTTTTAAATGGCTGCATTTATTGAAAAATTGCCCCCCGCGTGGAAAGATTTCAAGAATTATCTGAAACACAAACGAAAGGAAATGAACGTTGAAGAACTAATTGTTAGACTTCGAATTGAAGAAGACAATAAAAGTTTCGAAAAGAAGTTGTTCAATCCTGGTGTGACTAAAGCCAATGTTGTGGAGCATGGTCAAAGTAGTAAGACCCACAAAAATAAGTTTGGGCCATCCGATGGCAAAAGGACAAAGCTAAGACCGAAAGGTGGAATTTCTAAGAAGAAATTTCAAGGAAAATGCTACAATTGTGACAAAGTAGGCCACAAAGTCTTTGGAGTGCAGATTGCCAAAGAAGAAGAAGAAAGAAGCAAATATGGTTGACTACATGGCACATGATGTGTCTGAAATCAATCTCGTCGCCGTAATTTTTGAAGTGAACATGGTGGGTTCAAACCCAAAAGAATGGTGGATTGACACTGGTGCTACGAGACACATGTGCTTTGATAAAAAGTTATTTACTACATTCGAAGCAATTGAGAATGGAGAGAAGTTGTTCATGAGAAATTTAGCAACTTCTGTGATCAAAGGTTAAGGAAAGGTTGTTCTGAAAATGACCTCGGGAAAAGAGCTTACTTTTAACAATGTGTTGTATGTGCTGGAAATTCGCAAGAACCTAGTGTCCGGGCTACTTTTGAATAAGCATGATTTTCGCATTGTATTTGAGTCATACAAAGTTATTTTGTCTAAGAGTGAAATGTTTGTCAGAAAAGATTATGTTTCTAACGGTATGTTCAAATTGAATGTAATGATTGTTAAACCAAAAATGAATAAAGTAAACTCTTCTCCTTACTTGCTTGAGTCTTCCAATTTATGGCATGGTAGACTAGGACATGTTAACTATGATACTATACTTAAACTAGTTAACTTGAATTGTATACCCGAGTTCCACATTGATTCCAAACATAAGTGTGAAACTTGTGTTGAGGCAAAATTGACAAGGTCATCCTTTAAATCAATCGAACGGAATACAGAACCACTTGATTTAATTCACAGTGACATATGTGATTTAAAATTTGTACAAACAAGAGGCGGCAACAAGT